ACCTTCGATGATAGTCTTCTCCAAAAAAAGAGTTGGACAGGTCCGCAAAGCGCGCCTAAGACACGCACACGCCGCAGTGCAACCTACAAAGCCGGACGCGCTGCTTGTCTGTGCCCTCTTGCGTTTGGCTGCGGAGCTAATGTTCTCCAGAGCTCACATTTGCAGCTCGCCAGCACGATCGCTGCAGGACCTCAATCGCCCAGGTCCCGCAGCGAACGTGATGGCAACATGGCATTGTGAAGTTTAACAATGAACTTCTAGTTGATGAGTAGATGCTGGGATATTGATGTCATGAAGAGGCCATCAATGAGTGAGGTAGCCAAACAGCTCAAAGGATATTGCGTACAGTATGTTTCGATGTTCACCTCCAGTAGGATGTATAGCGTAGTTCGCTGCGGACGGCTGGGCCTGTCAAGGGGGATGAGTTTGGCGCGGTGCCAAACCCGTTCTCCACCAGTTGTTAAAGCGAGCAAGTGATATGACTGTATCATATCGTTCGTATTACTCGTTTTCTACCACTTTTTGTCGCATGTCAACAAGAAGGCAGAGAACGGCTCTGACGGCGTGACACACTCATACTGCCTGACACGCCCAACCGTCCGCAGCGAACTAGAGTGTAGTCAGCATTCCTGCAAAGGATAGGGCGTGTGATGGGCGTGCATTGCAACGCTGCCAAGGTGGTCTCACCATCAGTGATGTCATTCATAAATCCGCGGAAAGCCGGTTCTGGCTGCGATCCAAACCACGTCCCCTACCACGCCCTATCGTTGGCAGGCATTATGACTATATCTGGCTATCTTTCACGTACTTAATTTAATTTTAATTAATTTACCTCATTCTGGGGTTCTTCAAAGCAGTCAGCACGATATATTTGAGTAGTTCGTCTCTAAAATGCTAGCAGGGCGCTATATAGTGGGGGAAATGGCGAAAGAACGGAGTGAAACGGTCAAAATCCTGCGAAGAAAAAGCCTCCGTTCTCAGTGATTTCGAGAAGCGATGGCGAGTTTTCCGTAGGCTCTTTATGGTGACCGCTATGGTAGCTAACGGCTGGTGCTCGTGAATCATGCAGCAATCGCAGCGCTTCATACGCAATTCCCTTCGCGTTTTTGCTACTAAATGAAATAAATAACTAGCACAGTATGTGTCGTCCTTGTGGGTGCGAGCGACTGTGCGGCGTTCGGTCAGTAGTGTTGTAGCTTGTAGCTTTATATAGGGTAGCTGCCTCGAAAAGACGCTACTCAGGCGCCTGAATCATGGTCGCGAATCCCGTCTTGCCAGGCAATTATTAATTCCTATCGTCTAAGGGGGTTTTCATGCTACTTCCTTTGAATCGCTCCATTCTGAAACTTCCCTTTCCCCCATTTTATGCTCTATAAACTCCGATGGGCGAAGTCCAGCTCTGATCGTGGTCAGATATATTTCCGTAAACCTGCGGACCTTTGAGAATGCTAGACACGTTTTTTTTCAGTACGGTCAGGGAAAATACGGTGCTTGCAGCAGACTCGAAGCAGCAGCTCATTGAACGAGTGAAGACTAGGGGATGTGTAGAGGTGAGTCTGTTAGGCCTTTCCAGAGGTACCCTTCGTTACATAGAAATGTTTAGAGCATTACTGTTGGTTCACGGATGGGACACAAAAAAGCCACCTATCAAGCATATTGTGAGTATCTTTCTCAGAGTTGTGCTCCGAAGTATTCACTTTGCGGCCACGTCTGCAAAAGCGGCGTCACGTGCGCACCAAGTCTTAATAGATACAGAGGGAAATAATGTCGTGTGCCGAGTCAACTAGATAGAAGTGCTAGTTAGTTCGTACGCTCACGATAGCGGGGAAAGAACGAAGCTTACGGAAGCCAGGGGCACGTCACGGTGGTGATTCCAGCAGGGCGGGTCGTATTTTGTCGCTGGGAGAGGCGGTCGCATTTGGTCTGAGAAAAAAATCTTTAATTCATTTTTGATGACTGATTTTTCTTGTTTCAGGGACGGCTCCTAAAGGAGGGGGCCGGCCCGTATTCAGGGATGCGTTTGGGGAAATTCCCCATAGGGGGGTAAGTATTGGCGACAGTGGAGAGGGGGGGGGTCGTATTTGGGCTGGGAAAATTATATTTTGATAGTTGATTGTTCTCTTACGGACGCGTTGTGCGAAGGGAGGGAGACCCTCCCCCCCCCCCCCCCCCCCCCCCCCGCCGTGTACTTGGTCATTGTTGGGAGGGGGGGTCGCATTCACGTTTTGGCGTTGTAGGAGTGGTGGTTGACTTTTGGTGATTTTCCTGTTTCACTGTTGCTATATACCTTCTTCCCCCCTATCGCTCGACGGCGTCGATTCGATGCGGAAGGCAAAAGAGGCTGGGGGGCGGGGAGGGGGTCGTACAACGTCCCAAAAAAAGGGGGGGTGTACATGACTCGACTAAAATCCCACCGAATGATGTGGCCCTGGGTTGTATTTGTTTTCGTGGTCTTCGGCGCAGAGGGGTTGCTGACTTTTTCGGGGTTTCCTAAGGGAGTCCCATGAAGGCCACTTTCGTGGAGGGGGGGGGGGGGCAAATCCCCACCCAATGACGCGCCTTGTTCGAAAGCCCTCACTATTATCAATAGATGTGGAGGACGTGGCGCACTCAAGAGGCGATCGCTTTCTTTATTTGTTCCGAGTGATAACCAAACATAGCATTTTCTTCCAGATTGTCTCCACTACGGCTGCAGTGGTCACTACGAAAAAAGTGAAAACTGTGAATAATGTAGGTTCAGTTTGCTTCCATCTCCGAAAAGTTACTTCTGAATCTGAAGAAAAATGTTTCAGTTTTATAATGCTGTTTAACGCAGCAGTGCGCTCCCGGGAGTTATCACAGGAGTGCTCAGAAGTGGGCAAAACCAGGCCCAGGGCGAGACTTCCGCATCTGTCTTTTCCACCAGTTGCAAGTCCGCTTTCAACAAGTGCTGGGAGACGAGCGCCAGACCTGGCCTTACTCGAGACGCCGTCACCCGCAAGTGAACAAGATATACATACGCTCCGTCTACCGTCCCTTCAGACTTTCGCAGCACTCCTTTTCTCTTCTCTGGATGTAGACTGTACCTGTACGCTGTTCCTTTTGTGGCGCAAGTCTGCTGACTTCGGATACTCCTACTCTCGCGGTGTCGGCGAAGTGTGGAACGCGATGTTAAGTCGGATGAGGCTTCTTTGCTGGATGTGATACACCACATTCTGTGGGAGGGGCCAGACGAGCAGCATTAGTCGTGCTGCCACGCGACCCCTCCCACTCATACTAGAGCCCCTGGGTTTCCTTTGCTATTTTTTGATTTTTCTCTTTCTTGTTCCTTCTTCTTGCTTATTCCACTTCACTTACAGGTTTCGAAGCAAAATATGAACAAAGATTCCACACAGAAATAATAACAGATCACCATTTGTAAAATTCATATTACGGTAATTCTCAACTTTTACCCCGTAAGTATTGCCACTGTTTCGGAAGAATTCGTGTTTTTTTTAAGATTCAATAACGAAACGAACATGTCCGAATGCAGATTCAATTTAGTATAAAGATCTTGAACAAAATCTCTCTCTTTTATTATATTCAACGGAAATAAATAAATTATAAAAGAGCAATCCAAGACAGCATATACAATTACAACTCATGAATGTACATCAGACTTATAATTACAATATTCTTAAGCCTCGGATTCCGTTTCCGCTAGCGTGATCTGTAAAACAGCACACGTAAGACAATTTGAAGGCAAAAAGAAAATCAATAAATTTGACTAACCACTCTCTCGAGTTCATTAAGGCGTTCACTTAGAGCTCCAATAACAGTAAAGTACTCTGTTTTGAAAGTGTCCAGTTCCATTGTAAACCTAAAAATATAAAGAATAAAGTCTCAGCCGTTGATCAATCTTTTTTTGGAATACGGCATTCATGTACTTCCATTCGGAATCGTAGGCTTACTGAATGCTTATACAATGACTGGCGGAGCCAGCCGATGTACAAGTTAGTGTTATCCCAAAAGAACCGGATCTCACCACCCAGAAGGAAAAAGGCTTGGTTGGCGTAGGCGGAGGAGCCGATTCGGGCTTCCCCGGACTGCGCGCGTAGTAAGCGTGCCACTTGCCACTACACACAAAATTACAAGTTCAGGTCGTCAGACTGCGTACAGTACCCCCGAAAACTGCGCATGAAGTTAAAAATGTCGTGTCGGAACGCACACAACGTAGGCGAGGGAGGAAGCTCCGGGGTGAGACTGCCACCCTGGTAGAGACCCGCTTGGGCTCCGGCAGGTACCTGCTCGCGCGCGTCAGGCTACAGTACTCCACGCAAAGGGCTAATGCCGTTTGGACTCCAGAAATTTCGGCACCGAGCTCATTTTCAAATTGCCTAAGTCACCAAATCCGCTAAAAACTTGTATATAGGGGTAATTCAACATCCTGATTACGAGTATGACACTCATTCTTGGCGCTGGCGCCAAGAGAGGACACTACGATTACCTCCTGGGCTCAGCCTTAGCAGAGCGCAGGTAACCGTAGTGTCATCCATTAGCGCCAGCGCCAAAAATGAATGTCATATTCGTGATCAGGATGTTGAATTACCCCTATATACAAGTTTTTAGCGGATTTGGTGATCTTGCCACTTTTGAAATGAGCTCGCAGCCGAAATTTCTGGAGTCCAAACGGCATTAGCCACCCCGAAAGAAACCTATTTGGCGGGCTGTTTCGCACGATGCAGACATTGCTCTGCGCTGCGACGGGATATTTTCAGAGGCATTCTACAGTCCAGTAGATGCGAGGAGAACGTAAAGGAGGGGAGATCAGAGCAGGAACGGAACGGAAAGAGGACATGACGGAAGAAAAATGAAAGAGAGCGGAGGCTTCCCAGTTGACAAGTGCCCTGAGACGCCTAGATGGCTCACGTAGTCCTGCAGCCTGTTGTGTGCATCTACGACCAGCACAATTAATCTCGCAATTTTCGGGGATACTGTATGCACCCTGACAACCTGAACTTATACTTCAATCCATTACACAACCTCCGCCTCTTCAGACTAATATGGAGCTTATTCAACCTGATGAACTTACTTCTTCCATTCCTCCAATCCCTTCTCAATGTCTTCTTGAATGGCGTCCAGCTCTTTCTCTTGCTGAGGAACTAAACCGATCTTGTCGGTTTTAAGGACAACCTAGAAGAAAGGCACTTGGAATCGCATTGTAAAGTAAGTGTTCCTAGGGAACTCGATTGAACAAAGCAGTGAAAAAAGATATCATTTTGAGAACGACACCTCTAGTCGTTCATCGAACTCTTTGAGAAACTCGGCTCGTTGCCGAATGAGACCTTCACAGAATTCGATAGTCGATAATCTGTCAGATAGGGATTGTGTATTTGGCTGAAACAATTAGCAATCAATGGTATTAATCAACTACATCCATCACTGCAATTGAATGACTGAGTGACCAGAACTAACCTTATTCGTGAGATTTTTCAGCTTTTTTAATTTTGCCAGAGGAATCTTCATTACTCGATCCAAACCTAGCTTTGTCAACTTTGCTTGTAATGCCGCTACATCAAGATCTTTTGCTTTTACCTGGAAATATCCTCTTTTGCCTATCTAAACGACGCTCAACTGCGAACAAAGTGACCATTTGTCAATACGCTCTGGAAAACAAGCGGTCGCAATACGCTACGAGGACAGTGCGGCTTGTTAGCGAATCGTGATCAAAAAAACTGCCTCGCAAACGCTTGTAATCCTCCCGGATAGTATTCAGAGCTTACTAATAGGCCCGCGACGACTTTGAAGAAATGGCGAGTCTGCGGAACTGGGGGAAATGCAAAAATGCCGACACTGACAACAAACACTGGACAGGAAAGGTCGTTTGGAGGCCTCGTTCATAGTTCGCGACTCGAGCGATCCAAAAACGTGCGACTGCGACTATTCGCGCTCTACTGTGAACACGTGGACCAACGTAATCCCAGTCACATCCAAGGCGTCCTATCGGAATGTGTGATAGTTCTTGGCCGCAGTGGCACGATTTATCAAAAAATTGCAGGTGGTCGCAAGTGTATGAACGCTGCCCCCAACGCAGTTGGGGGGGGGGGGGGTGTGAGGGGATGACGCATGGCATGTCTCCGTATCCCTTCCTCCAATCAGGGCTTATGGTTTCTCTATGGGACTATCACTCGGCCACTCTGGTCTCTGTGCTCTGAGCTAATCCTTTTTGGGATTAGGATACAAAGCCGTGGCCAAGTGGTCGCCCCAACTACGTCAGCGTCGATCCTTCCATCTTGTCCTCAGTGATCTTCTAGGAGAACTGAGGATCCTGCGGATTTAGTCCGGAGTATATAATGTAGTCAGTCGCAGACCGCCTTCGCTGCGGATGAAGGGGTGTATCAGACAGTGTGAGTGTGCCACGGCGCCGAACCCGTTCTCTGCCAGTGTGTTGAAGCGGGTACGCAACAAAAGAATACACGTCCTCATCATTGCGGACCGGTGGGGCGTGGCAGTGCGGCTGCGTTTGGTGCGGTTTGGCAGAGTCGTTCTGCACCAGTTTTTGAAGCGGGCAAGTGCATTACTGTATTGTATCCTTCGTATTACTCGTTTTCTACCACTTTTTGTTGGCATAAGCGTTCAACAAAAAGGCTGAGCAGGCTCACTGTGTGCCGCAATCCTTCTCCAGCCGACACGCCCCACCGGTCCGCAAACGATGAGGACTATAGGTAGACAGGGCACTCCGTAGTCGGGGAACCCCCAACAGAGTTTCGTATTTGGGCTGAGAAAAGTTTATTTTGATAATTGATTTTTCCGTGTGAAAGGGAGGGGGTCGTACTTGCTCATTGTTGGGAGGTGGGGAAGGGGTCGTATTCAGTTTCTGGCGAGTGGAACTTTTCGTAATTTTCCTGTTTCATGTTACTATTCCCCCCCCCGGCTCAACAGCAAAATTTTTTGTAAGGTACGGAGGTTTTCGGGAAATTTCGGAAAAAGTGGCAGGAAGTCGGGGAAATCCGAGGATTGGTAGAAGGGGGGGGGGTCGTATTGTGTCGCGGCTTTTCATGTTCACATGTGCTATTTGGCAGAATTTACGCCCGCCCCCCCCCCCTCCACTCGACAGGCTCGATTCGATGAAAAGGGGGGGGGGGGGGTACCAGCCCAAAAAAAGAGGGGGGGGGTGGTCTGGACTCGACTAAAAATACCAATGATGTGCCCTGTAGGTAGAACGAGTGATACGAACGATATACAGTCTCGTCACTGGCTCCCTTCAACCGATGGTGAACGTGTTTAAGGCCGCGTTCATAGCTTGCGACCATGAAGAAATGCAGGAACCGAGAGTGGAAGAGTGTGGGAATCAGCAGAAGAGGACGGAAAGGACCCAATTACGATTTTCCCGATCTTTCGCTTTCTGAAGATACCGCACTTCTTCACTTTCGCATTTCTGCATTTCTTCACTTTCGGCATTTCTGCAGATTCCGCACTTCTGCAGTTTCGGCATTTCTGCATTTCTTCAAATCGATACGTATGTAATGCTTTTCGTCATTTCTGCAGATTTCCGCACCCACCCCCCCCACCCGCCCCCCCACCCCCGCACATCTGCAGTTTCCGCATTTCTTCATGGTCACAAGCTATGAAATGCGGCCTAACATATACAACATGAAAGGGCGACACCTTTTCCAGATCCCTGATACCCCAATCTCCCGGAAATAGTGAGATTTTGAGCGATCTTCAAAATCAAGCACGTTTTCGCGAAAATAAAATGAGTTTCTGGGGCAAGTAGGTTAGAATAGGTACAAAATTCAAGAAAATAGTCTCTGCCAAAAAACTAAACGTACATCCGTACACTCGTCGATGCCCAGGGCTCTTTCGATTGCAGCTATCCGATCTTCTAGTGAATCCTCCATCTTTAAAAAGTCAATATCAATAATTTCAACTGAAAAAGAACAAATTTATGACAGCTTCACGGCAAATAATGGCCAAAAAGTAAACCATCCGCGTCTTTTGTCGTGCATGTGACGCATTACACCGAGCACCGCCCTACAGTACCAGATTATGTCTGTTGCTCTTTGGCCATCCTTTTCCTATTGCAATATTTCTTTCAGTAACTTTTCTTAGTTTTTATCCTCATTCGCATTTGCTTTCCACCAGGATTTCACATCCAGTTACATCACATCATTATGATGTGATGTAATTGGATGTGAAGCTTGTTTTCTAAGACTTGCAAAGCTCTAGATTTTTATAGGGTTTAAGTCAAGTCCTTCCTTTCCATTTAGCTAGAATCTTTCATCTTAGTCCTTTTATTCCTTGCGTCTAGAACCTTCTGATCAATCAGAATACTGCTGCACGGTGCACTCATTTCGTATGCATTCCTCTTACTATTCATAGATTCATTCTGTACCCACTTCATTTACAATGTCAGTAGCGTTGCTTTACTTGGAAGCGATTCTTTGTTCCCCTCTTTTTGCTTCTTTCAGCGTATATCCTCTCATAATAAGGACACTGATCTTCACCAGCCGAGCGGCTCTGTCTTATTTTGAATTTCTCGGTTTTTCTCTAGAATTAATTAAATGATTATTCTTTCAGGTAATAAGGCACCATGCAGTCCACTACTGATCCACGAAGGCCGAATAAGATTGTGAGGTTGGTGAGGTATCGCTTCCTGATGCTACATGGAATAAAGTGCGTTCTTTTCAGGTTCAAAGCTGCTGATCCCCAATCAGCCAATGCTGTCACGGATGATCCTTTGCCAGAATACATGAACGTCTTAGGAATGATTTTCAGCATGTGTGGCTTGATGATGCGGGTATGTATCCTTTTATCATCTACATCAAACTCGTTAGGATATTTGTTAATTAAAAGCTAGTCTTTCAAATCTAGTAGTCTCGACATACTTTGGCTCTCCCATGCGCATTTGGTCGGTATTGGTCAGTGAGATTCATGTCTTGTCTTGATGGGCCAGAGTTGACTCCCACTGACCAATCTTTTTCAGACACCTGTGTCGGCCTGTCAAGAACAATTGCACTTTTTGGAGAAACTGCGAAAAGCTCTGGAGTAGCGGGAAATGATAGAGTTGGAATGGTGGTGGGTAGAATGGGTAAAGGAGGTTATATCAGAGGAGGTATATTGGGGGAGGGGTCGTACTGACACTGCCATTTTATCCGTCACGATGCTGTTCTCTGGTTGGTTAGAAAGGTCGATCCAAGGCAACGAAAAACAGCGCCTCTGACCGTTTCGCCTTACCCCGTTAGGTGACTGCCTGTTGTTCTGCGATTCGTTGTCCAGTGGGAGAAATTACAGCGAGAGCTTTCACATAGCAATGGTAAGATGAACTGCACAGACGTGAGATTGGAATGTGGCATTTGCATTTTTTTTGTAGTGCCGTTAGATAAATCTTCACGAATCGGCTCTGAATTACAGATGAAGTGGTGCGCTTGGATGGCTCTTTTATGTTCTTGTGTCAGCTTTGCTAACACACGTTCATCTGATGATGCGAAACAAATCGTTAGTAGCTTCATGTGAGTACATTTTTCGCCGTAATTTTCATATATCTACCTCTTTGTGGAGGAAGTAATACTCTGGCTGCACAAATCAATGTATGAAGGACCTTCAAAGGCACGGCCCGGTTCATTTGATGTGTACTACTTCCGCAATTCAAAAATCGGTGTGGAAAGCGTCGTCCGCACGCGGCGGATCAAGGCTCTTTTCTGAGTCCCCTCGTCCGGCCACGTCCTCTGCAGAGCAAGGGAGCGTAGCAAGCCTTCCGGTCAGGTCATCCATCTAAGGCTGCGTTCATACCGTGCGACGAGTCGTCAACGTCGACGTAACCGACGTTTTCGACGACTAGTTCGCGAAGATTGTACGTATCGATCCGACGTAATGGACCCTCATATTGCGGACCGGTGGGGCGTGTCCGCCAGTAGGTAGTTGGCCCGCACACTGTTTGGAAGCCGTTTCTCCCAAGCATTTTTTTGTTGAAACGCGTATTGCGAACAAAAAGTGGTTAACAAGAAAACGAACCGCGGAAGACGGAGCCGCACTGACACGCCCCACCGGTTCCGCAATGATGAGGACTGTAAGTGACGAAACCGACCACTACTTCACGAAGATTAGATACGTATTGATTCGACGTAACCGACGTTTTCGACGAAAGCGACGACTACTTCGCGAACATTAGATACGTATCGATTATCGAAAACGACGAAACTGACGATTTCGGCGACTGTGCCAAGAATAAGCTTTTCGTAGATGGTTTTTCCCCACAACTTTTTTCACATCACTTATTTATTTCCTTTTCTGTTTGTAAACATTTTCCCCTATCTCCTTCCATCCTCTTGATTGAGGACACTTTACCTATCTTTTCATCGAGAGAAATGACCATGATAATGGACACGTGGCTTACGTGGAATCGATGTGGTCCCCAGTATATATAGTATAGTATATAGTAATAGTCTGTAGTCTATTGTGATCGAGAAAATCACATCAAAAATTTTTTAGAATTTTCGCAGTTGAAGCAAAATAAGGAGGGAACCCAGTAATTGGGAGTGGGGACGTTCTGTCGGTGGTAACATTCGAGCTCTCCGTGCGACACACACTTTGAAATGTACAATAATGTCAAGTTCTCATTTTCAGTGCCACCCATGACTCTGCAGTTATGCCTCTTCCGGGTGTTAAGGACTCATGCTCTGCAATATGCCTCTTCCGGGTGTTAAGGACTCATCCGGACTAATTCAACTTTACCCATTCTGATGTCGCAACTGCGGTCCTTAATGATATGGTGCAGCCTTCTCACGGTTAAAAGTCTGTAAGCAAGAGGGACCAGATATTGGTAGATAATGACTGATATTGGGCTTTTTCAACTCAAATGCGTGTTGCCAGTTGGGCATTGCCATATCACTCGATCCGTATCTAATCTTGTAGTCGTCGGTTACGTCGGTTTCGTCGCTTTCGTCGAAACGTCGCTTTCGTCGGTTACGTCGCTTTCGTCACTTACGTCGGTTACGTCGTTTACGTCGCTTTCGTTGGTTACGTCGACGCGACGCCGTCGCACGCTATGAACGCAGCCTAAATGGTTTTTTTGGTTGGCTGGTTCATTAGTGCCTTTTTTCAATATGAGTGGGGAAGCTGTAGAATATTTAACAAGTTGCATGAGTTCTTCATTTCGGCAATGCCCAATAACCTTTTTAAAGTCCTATTTCTGCGAAAGTCTCAACAATTATGAGTTGTACGTTTAAAAATTTGTTTGGTGCAAAGTATCCGTTCCGGAACGGAGCGGTTGATAAATATAATTGAGGAGAACGATATTGATAATAGTAGAGAAACTTCATCAGGGATTTTTATCGCCCCACTCTGAGTTATTCCGTTTGCGGGCTTACGGTGACCTGATATATCGGGAGACTTGCACGACTTCCCTAGAACAAAGACCTGGTGTCAACAAGTGGAAACTCGTCCGACCACGCCCTCTCTTTTCCTTTCTTTTCCCTGCGCACATACATGCGCGGTTCAGCTCATGATTTTATAAGGAATACTTCGGACGAGATTTTTTCTTCATTTTCGTATTATTTACAATCTTGTCACTAATATTTAATTCTCACTACTCACAATTCGAACCCGAGGCGTACCTTTTAGAGGAAGTTGAGAGCTTTCCAAACCTGGCTAGAGCAGTCCTCAAAGTAATACGATTCAGGTTATCAGTGTCCGCTGTCGTCATGAGTTACCTACAGAATCCTCAGCCAATAATTCCACCATGGGCATCATTCATGTGATATTTCAAATGGCTTTCTCACCTCACTTGATTTAATTAAGCATGCTAGGCTTAAAGTTTGTTCTTGTTGATAAATTCGACTTTTAATGCGTGTTTTGAGCACATGTGGACTTAAGCTAAGGCGTATCAAAGTATTTATTGATTCGTTTCAAATAAATGTTCATCTAACAGTGGATTCAAATATCATTCTGTTCATGCTTTGAGTGAAGTTCGATATAATTTAATGATACAGAAAAGTATCTAGAAAACGAATGATTCATAAAAAGTAATGTTGGAGAGTTAGAATGATGACAGCGAATTAATTAAGAATGCGTGCCAGTTATGGGTATAACACATTGGCTGCATCAATGACTCATTCCATGTTCATCGCATAGGTGGAGTCACTGGAACATTCGTTTCTTTCTCGTTGGTAAGTCTCGCCTTTTGAAATGACAAAGGAGGCGCTCACCAATGAGAAAGGCGCAATGTCTTGCCCAGCCCATATCAATTCGTGGAATGTGCCTTAAGGGCAGCTAGAAATGGGATATTCCTAATGATAAATATTACAGTCGTAGGGATTGTTAGTAACTCCTAAATGCATACATCTTAGGCACTTCATTGATATTATCAGTTGGAACAAGTAAATAGGGAAATTCTGCGCAGACCGCTTATAGTTCTGTATACGACCACACAAATTGATATGCTACACGACCTGATGTGCCTTCACTTGGCGATCTCGCAGCCGGCTACCCTTGTAAAACATGCGAGTCGATTGAAGCTAAGCGGAATGCCGCCTACGAGATACAGCCATCCATACAGTTTTGTTTGCTGCGGACACGGGGCCGTTTTAAGGGACATTTCAAGGCGGCGCCAGAGAGTTTTCCAACATTTGTGGTCACCTACCAGCTTCCACAACTGGTGGAGGACGGACACCAACCCCCTAGGAACGCCCTAGCGGATCTTTTGTGACTTCAAATAACAAGAATGATGAACGGTTCTTCTCTACTGTTCCGAAAATTCGCATCATGTCTGGCGAGGCCATGGAAACGGTTACATACTATCGCAAATTATACGTATCGATCGTCGCGAAATCAACATGCACTGTTCCGCTATGCCTTTCTCAACACACATACCGATATGTTTACATGCAATCTACAGTAGTGATCCCTGCAAACGATAGGGCGTGTGACGGGGGCGCGACTTGGAACGCAGCCAGGTGACCTTTCCCCACCAACGATGCCATCTCGAGCCTGCAACATTGGTGGGGAAGGCCACCCTGGCGTTCCAAGCCATGCCCCCCGTCACACGCCTTAGTGTTGCAGGGATCATAAGTATAACGATAGGTGACATTGATGGCGCAGCTTTGTTTTCATGAATCGCCCACGATCTTGATAGGCTGTCGGCTGGCTTCAAATTTGTCCAATATTTTGTCGGTCCTTTCCCAGAGCGCATTTTGGAGATGCTCATCTCGGGCTAACTCTACGCATAAGTTCTTCTCATCGTCCCAACACGATTCCCAGTACTTGCCGCTGACCTGAAATTTCCAAAAAACAATAATTCAGAAAGACCCAAGAAATTATATTTGGTAAGTTTTTGAAGTGCAGCCTATTGGCCAATCCTGTAGATGCTCATTTGATTCGGATGGGACAGTGAGCTTTTTGACTTCACAGAACCAGCGTGAGTTTCTTCTTAAAGTTGCAGATCTCATTTCAGTTTTCCTACACTTCTGAATTCTTGCGACTCCTTACGTACATCTCGTACTTCTGGAGATGCTGCACAATAGACGGTAGTAGCAGCTCCTTGTTCCAGCGATTTCACAAATGGTTTTGTTACAGCTTTCCAAAGGGTGCCAACCATTCCCCAACTCCGTGAGATATCTGAAAGCATATTGTACTTCTGTGGAAACCAATTTCCAATACATTCTTGAAGAATCCTTATTGTAAGAACTGGAATTTTACAGAATTCCAAACTTCCACCACTGATATCCGAGACAATTTGTACCACAAAAGATTCCCTGCATTAAAGGCAGTTGGCACGATAATTTGGTACTCAGCCTAAAATGCTAGCAGGGCGCTATCTAGTGGAAAATGGCGAAAAACGAAGTGAAACGGTCGAAAACTGCGAAGAAAAGCCTTCGTTCTTGAAAAGCAATTTCGGACGAGTTTCCCGTAGGCGTATTGCAAATAACCGCTCCGGTAGGTACGGCGTACTCACATATCCATCCAGCACTGCAGCCGCTTCATACCATTCCCTTCGCTTCATATTTAAATGCAAATGAAGCAAAACGAGCATCTGGTAAGGTCGTCCATTTGTGGGCGGGCGGGCGTGGTGGGCGTTTGGGTCGGTATGTTGTAGCTTGATAGGACCCTTATAAGGGTACCTCCCTAGGAAAACCGCTACGCAGCGCCTGCTCAGGGTCGCGGAAATCCGCCCTGCCAGAC